GAGAGAGAGAGAGAGAGAGAGAGAGAGAGAGAGAGAGAGAGAGAGAGAGAGAGAGAGAGAGAGAGAGAGAGAGAGAGAGAGAGAGTAGGTGGGGATAGGGAGAGAGTGAGTAAAAGAAAGAGAGAGAGAGAGAGAGAGAGTAGGTGGGGATCGGGGCCCTAGCTAAATTTGCTAGGATTTCCGGGGGTCCGTGGGGAGTTTACCTCCCCAACGAGTACCCCGGAATGAGGAGTTTCTAGGCCGAGATGCTGTTCCCGGGTTTTTGCGGAAGGGTGCTCACTCGTTTTTTTGCGAAAGTGTGCTCATTCATTTTTTTGCGGAAGTATGTTCACTCGTTTTATGCGGAAGTGTGTTCACTCGTTTTTGGGGATTGGTCGAGGGCCAACGTCTGAGTTTTTTTTGTCCATATACGAACCAGGTTGATTTCATATTGCTAAAAAATGGGGTCTTGAACAACAGGGGGACGGAGCCACCCAGGTTTGCGGATCTAGTGTATATTAGTGCTTTATTTTATTTTTATNTCATATTGCTAAAAAATGGGGTCTTGAACAACAGGGGGACGGAGCCACCCAGGTTTGCGGATCTAGTGTATATTAGTGCTTTATTTTATTTTTATTTTTATTTTTAATTTCTACATGTATGCAATGTTGAAGCATGGGAAGAGCGGAGGRCTCAGATTAGGCGRGGAYGGGAGGTTTGGGCTCCGGTCGTATAGGGAACAAAAAATAGGATACGAATGTACAAATCCGKTACATGTATGCRAAAAGGCGTGGGGTCGTGGGAAGGTGGAAGATGGAAAAAGATGAGGAAYGTCAGAGGTGCGAGACTGGAGGAASAGAAGAAGGGTTTCGTGTCAGGGGGTAATTTTTGCAATGTGCTGYATCAAGSGRAAAAAAATGGCCAAGCGTCTGAACACGCGGGAGGAGGSGGAAGGCAACGATAGTAGCAGTTTTCTCGGAGACGAAGGAGGAAGGTGCGTGAAGGAGGACAGGKGSAGCAGACCAAGCRCTTGGGGGTTGTCGCTGTTCGGATGAAGTGACGAATGAATGGGGAGAGTGGAAGGAGGAGCGATCCTGATGCGGTATTGGTCCCTCCGGACAGAGGAAAGAGGAGAAGGAGGTCTGGGTGCAACGACGAGTATGGGAGGGGTTCTGTGTTTGTTCGAACAGTCGAGAATGCCAYGGAGGAGATTCAGGAAACTAAGTCAGGACAAGATCTTCCRTTCCCRGAAAGGATTGTGGTGGAAGACGAGGAAGGGTGAAGGGCRCCGATMTCAGTAATGCATGAAAGGAGTAGAAGTTGAAAGGAAAGGGAAAAATGGATGGAATGAATTAGTGTAGGATATCAGGGAGTAAGGGAAAGGTAGTCAAAAGGGCAGGGACAGGTAGAAKGGAGGAYCGGGTGTAATGCATGAAAGTGAAGGGGAGTAAGGGTATTGTGGCCGACACAACATAGTAGGTAGTACGTATGGAATGCGCAATGAGAAGTATATAAGGTAGGAGCACGTAGGCAATCGTATCTCGAGTTCGAAGTGGGAAAGTGGTTTGTGCCTCCTGCTGAGTCACTTGGTGTGCTGGTGATGAAAYGCGTAGGGGCAGGGAGCATACATTGGTCGTGATGTGGTGTGAAGTTTTTGATCTAAGTTTTCGGTGGGGACTCGGGCGAATCAGCATGTGTGGACGGGTATCTTGCTCTTTTTCTCTCTCCAAACGTGGTAACCGGTGATGGTAGACATGACGCGGTGGCTACGAGTGCGCATATGCTTCTGAAGCTCAAGGAGTGATCGTCTGGTAAACGATCGCATCGAGTGAGAGGGGTGTGATCATCTCCTCTTACCCGTGGCCCATGGGAGCGGGGCAGCTATGTTAAAGTATAGAGGGCAGAGATTCACAAAGCTGATTGGTCGTGGTGCAATTGCGTTTCTCGCTGGGATTGGCGGGATTTTTAGCGTGCTTATAATTTGGGGGAATACATCGTATAGAAGGTGGGACTTCGAGTTGCGCATTTCGATTAGTTGTGTTAAGCAGTAGAGGGGATGAACGGGAAGAATTTTAGAGACGAGGAATTTGATAGGCTTTGGCAGGATGTCGAAAATTTAGTGTTCGATAGGCTAGTACCTATGATGTGGGTAGCGGTGGAACTACCGAGCGAAAGCACGAAAGAGAAACTAACGTGTATATTAGAAAGATTTCTGGGTAGGCTGTATAGCTTAGGTTGTGTAGTAAGAGATAGGAGGAGGAGGAGGAGGAGGCAGGTTAGGAGACAAAGAATTATTTCGGAATGATGCAGAACCAGGGAGGATAGATGAATCAGGGAGCGGGTAATGGCTTCTCGATGTTGGGGAACAATCAGCAAGGGGGTGTGTCGTGTTATCTGTGTGGTAAGGTGGGACACTATGCCCGGAATTGCTAGGAAGGTGGGAATGGGCGTCGACCTCCGATGCAGCCATCAGCTCCGTCCGGTGTAGGTGATGATGAGACCAGGGAGTTCTGTGAGTACGTACGTGAGAAGATGAAGAGAAAGAAACTGGAAGAGGAGAGGAGTGAAAGAGAAGAAGTTGAGAGAAGGAGGAGGGAGGAAGAAAACAGAAAGGAGCAAGAGAGACTAAGGGAAGCGGAAGCTAGAGAAGCGAGGCTCGAGGCAAGATTGGTGAAACTTTTGTCTCAGCACAATAAAGCTGGGATACAATGGAGCACTTCGGGGACGAAGAGGAAATCGCCACGTACGAAGGCAAGAGTACTAAGGGAGATAACTAGTTACCGCGAGGAGTCTGAGGACGATAGCGAAGAAGTAAGGGAGGAGGCGGGGAGGCTAGTAGCGGCCATTGAGAAGAGGAAAGGCAAGAAGAGGATCACCGAGGATGAAGGTAGAATTCCGAAGGTAAGGAGTGTGAGGAAGGGGATGAGAGAGGATCCCGTGAGAATCGAAGAAGAAGAAGAAGAAGTGCGGACTCCTCCACGAGATGTGAAAGATGAAGATGATCAAGGGATTCTTGACTTTGTGATCGAACTACACCGGCATCTTTCCGAGAAGAAAGTCCCAGAGCTCCGTAAGTTGTGCAACCGAGAAGGGATAGAATGGTCAAAACGAGACACGGCCATCGGCGAGCTGGTGAAATGTAAAGCAAAGCTAGCATACGGCGGATTTGCGGAAAAAGGTAATGTCGCTCATCTCTTTGAAAACTAAGTCGGGAGGATGGAGGAGTTGAGGAGGTTGATGGATGATCGTCATGGAATCAACAGTGTCGGAAGAGGGAGACTGAGTGTTGAGTACGAAGATCGGGTTTTTCGCAGTTTTCTCTTGTGTGTAATCAAAGGCTTCTGCCCGCAGGCCAAAAAATGGGTTGGATTGGTGAGCGGTGCGGGAGGGGATATGTCTACAGCAAACCCGGGCGTATACGTTTTGGTCAGTCCATGGTGCCGCCATTTTTATATTGGCTGCACCACGAAAGCTGTGATTTCCCGGTGGTCCGACCACGTGAGCAAAGTGGAGACTGGAGAAGTCGGGAATGCGCCGAAGTCGCACGCGTGGCTCCGCACGTTTGTATGGAAGAAGCATCTTGTGGTGCCAGTAATAGACGGTGTCAAGGATCTGTCGAGTGTGGAAGCAGGATTAATTAAGAGATTCTCCCCGACTTTGAATGTGCAGGGCAGAGGACCCGAAGTGAATCGAAAGAAGAGGAGGAAGGGGAAGAGGGAAAGAGGGAAGAGGAAGTCAAGTACATTAGGAGGGGCACTGTTGAAGTTTAATGGTCAGGCATCGCTCATTGAAGTAGTGAAAGGTATGGTGGGGGATGGAGAGAACTGGTGGATCACATCATCCGGGGGTGATATTTGGTTAGACCGATGAAGGGTAGTGAAAAGAAAGGTTGGAGAAACAACGGTATGGGTGGAGGGATCAGAGTCTCCTATCAAAGAATGTAAAAGGGTGATGGAAGAGGGTGGGACATATCGAGTGGGAAAGGTGGTGATCATGCCGTCGGGCATTGAGCATAGGATATTCATACTAAGGGATGTGCTTCAACAACCATGGAGGATCAAGGGCTTGTATAAGAAAAGGGCGCAGGATTTGGTTGCGCTATTCCGGATGGGATCACGTTTTGGGCAAAAAAAGACCCGGAACCGGATAAAAAACGTGATCAATTGGATTGTTAGAAGGAAGTTCGGTGCAGAGATAAGGAGAAGACCGTGCGTGAAGGTTCCCTTTTCTCTAGAGCTTAGAACGGGAGAGGTAAGGGAGGCAGCGAGTGAACTGATTCGGAAAGGGAGATTGGAAGCGCACATCGCCAGCTTCGTTGCAGGACGAGTACGGGTTGTCACAATGAAGAAGGCATCAGTAGGGATGCTTCTTCACAATCAATGGAAATATGCGAAAGAGGAGGTGGTATTATGTTCGTGCGAAGGTCTGCATCTCCCAAGATATGAAGGCCACGTGATGGTGAGGCTGAACGAGGTAAAGGAGCTACCACAATTTATCTGGAACTCGCGCAATGCGACGAAGGGTGAGTTCGTGTCACCGAAGAAGTTGGGAGTATGTATCTGGGAAGGGATAAAAGAGTGGGTGGTACGGAAGGAGAATCCAGGTATTGCGGAGAGGTTGGTCGGGTGTTACAAGCAGGGAAAGGAGTTGAGTTCCGAAGCAATGTCCGCAGAAGACGTGCCTAGGATGCTCGCGTGTTACAGCAGGTTAGTGGCGGTACCGATCGACCGAAATCCCAGTGCGACGCTGCTCATGTGTCCATTTGCGTACCGTCATGCATGTAAGGAGATGTTCGTGAGGAATCCGAGTTTCCGAGTGATACATGAAGCTGATGAAGGGGTGCTCCAGACGATGAAAAAAGAGCATGAACAGTTGGAACTCACAAAGATTGCAAGATGGCAATCGGGAGGAAAGATTGGATTGGCGTATGTGGTACCCAAAGATAAGGATATGCAACGATGGAGGCCGATCTCACTGAATACATGTGATCCGTTCAGGCTTGCAGCATCTCGAGTCGGGCGAGCTATTCGGTATATGCTGTTTGGCGTGTCCAGGAGAGAACGTTTCGATCTGAAATCGATGGACGAAGTAGTAGTTCGCAGTAAAACCATTGAGAAGGAGTTGGGTAAGTCGGTGAATTGTGCACTAGCCCGGAGTTACGATATCAAAGATATGTTTGCGCGCCTATCTCACAGAAGCGTGAAGGAGGTGGTTGATTGGCTACTCAAGTATCATCAGGATAAAGGGTTTAGAGGGGTACGGGTGAGTTGCCGAGGGCGGTTATGCGCAATGGTAAGGGTGGTGAGGAAAAAAGAGGGATTTGTGACCATGACTTTCGAACAAATGTGAAGGGAAGTGGTTTTTGAATTATCTCATTCGTACGTCAGATGTACGGGGAGTATTTTGAGGCAAGAAATGGGGATCCCGATGGGAAGGAACTCGAGCCCCGCTCTGGCATGTTTGGTATGTGCCCGGGCCGAATCCAGGTTCATAGGGGCAATGAGAAGGGAAGGGTTGGTGGGGGGGGAATGAGGATGATAGACAACGTGACGGTGATCGCATCCTATTATCAAGGTAACGAAGAATCGAGGTGGAACGCAGCGAGGGTGCTGGACCAGTTCGGAGAGTGTTATGATAAGAATCTCAAACTGGTTCGGAAGGATGAGGGAGGGAATGCCTTCGATTTTCTCGGCGTAAGGATGATGATAGACGTCTGTCCAGTTCAGATTCATGTGTTCCCTTGGACAAGGAATCAACAATCCCTCGCTGAAGATGGGAGCTTGAAGGTGCAGTCGATCCAGGATTTTGCGTCATTTACAAAAAAGAGCACGAAGAAGTCGGCAAACTTTGCGTATCTCGTGAGGATAAGAAGGTTGTCAACTTCGGATGATGCGTTGAAAGCCGCCATTGCCGCGCTTATGTTCGAAACTCGCCTCTGGGGGTACCCCCCGAAGGTCTCTCTCAGGGCCCTACCTAAATTTACGAGGATTTCCGGGGGTCCGTGGGGAGTTTACCTCCCCAACGAGTACCCCGGAATGAGGAGTTTCTAGGCCCAGATGCTGTTCCCGGGTTTTTGCGGAAGGGTGCTCACTCGTTTTTTTGCGGAAGTGTGCTCATTTGTTTTTTTGCGGAAGTATGTTCACTTGTTTTATGCGGAAGTGTGTTCACTCGTTTTTGGGGATTGGTCGAGGGCCAACGTCTGAGGTTTTTTTGTCCATATACGAACCAGGTTTATCTCATATTGCTAAAAAATGGGGTCTTGAACAACAGGGGGACGGAGCCACCCAGGTTTGCGGATCTAGTGTATATTAGTGCTTTATTTTATTTTTAT